AGAGAGGAAAGTGTCAAACGAACGGAGTGAGTGAATCAAAGTGAATGAATAATTATTTTCGCCAAGATATTTTGAGAAATAGATTGCCGGAAACGCTTATCAGAACAGAGAGTGGAGTGTCAAACCAACGATGAATGAATATTCTTACCGCGTTGAACCTATACCCAAAAACTTTAAGGATCATCCTGAAAAGCATTATACTCAAGTGGTTCACGTGTTATTGTTTATAGTAGGTCTACAGCCAGACAATCTGATTAAAATACAGATCTATATTTCGTTTCTTTTTTTATACTTTCGTGGCTTACACTACATGAAGATCTGACAAGTTATAGCGATAGGTCACGTCAGGGGTCAAAAGACCGACCTATGACGTCAGACATTTGATTAACCAATCAGCATTGATGTTACTAGTGGATTACCCACAGTTCCGTGAAAAACACGCCTAAAGATCACCGTAACAGACCGTTTCATTGGCTTATCCCTGACACCATTCAGAACACGAGTTAAATAACAACTCTTTCAGATCCAAGTGTAGTAAAGACAAGTAAACAGAAATTTTGAACTATAAAAACGAAACGAAATAGGATCTGTGTTTTAACCAGATTGACAGCCAGATGGATTTGGTAAGTTTATGACTGAGTGAGAATGTGGGATTTAATCACCGTAAAAGTGATTGATTACCGAAACATATCGCAAATATTATTTTTTAAAATTAAATTATGGGGGGGGGGGGGGCAAACAGAGGTCAGACCGGATTTATGGAAGGGCATGGACATGCTGAGCCCCAAGAAGATAGGTGCCCATGCTAATCAATGTATTATACACTGTGCCATCTTCGTCTGTAGGGTATACCATAATGGAGTACCATGTTAAACATACATTATGCAAGAGCTAAATCTGCCTATTGCAAGTCTTTATTTAGGCTTCAGATGTTATAGAAATTATTAATTAGACCTTCATTTACACGACAAGCCCAAAATCAACTCTGTGGACCCACGGATGGCTTGGATACAGTTTGAATTTAAACAGTAGTCCATTTAAAATTAAATCAATAAATGGCGGACCAAGCTAACGTTTACCGTTAGTCGCTGATGTCACTACCGGAAACTGGTGATGAAAGGCCTGCCAGGCGAGGCTACCATAGCCATTGAGCATGTTACTTGATAATTGAGAATATGTGGGTGGAGTTATCGTCTGTCAATCATACGATCACTAATTCTCATAGACGGCGCAGACACAATTGATGCCTATTTCTAGTCAAAACTTCCATCAGTGACAATTCCGTTCAGAACAAAGTAATTTGACTGAAATTTTCATCATCTATTTTTGAATTATTATAGCAGGAATGGCCAACTCTTTATAAAACTTTTAACTAATGTATCTTTAAATATAAGTGTTTTACAAGACTCATGTTATATTGTTCAAACGTTTGTGTTGATTATTTTTTGTTGAACAGAGCATGCTTATCACTGATTTAGTTGTAAGTAGGCTACATGTATATTACAATGTTTATTTTTACCGACCCATTTACAAGTGCATTGCTTTGTCCAGTGTGTGTGCCCTCCGCCCTGGGCGCCACTGTAAGGTTGCTGGGCGAAGTTAATCGAAACATTTTGATGACAAAAGTCTCGTGCGTCCACCCTAACGATACAAATATTCGGTTTTTGTGCCCCCAGCGTAATCTTGTTCCACGTACAAATTCCACGAACCTAAAAGGCAACGTAAACATACCGAAATATCACAACGACATACAGAAATTGTAGTACAATGGGCCAAAATCAAAATGGTGGTCCATACCGGTTAATCGTGTTGGTTTGGTCCACGTTTATATTTTGGATATTTGACCAGGAAATGGCCGATGTGACCATAGTTCTGTGATGTGACCAAGGCAAGATTTTGTCATGTTTGATGTTACTCTTTTGTATTATTATTCCCAACCATTCGTCCGTCAATCCATCTGCCATTTTTTATTTTCAGTAATTTTTGAAAATTAAACTTGGAGATATTTTATTGAAATTTGCTACAGTGAATTTGCTAATAACATGGTTGAACATTCTGCTGCACATGCAGTCTCCACAGTATTTTTTAAAAAATTTTTTTTATAATACTAACTAATAGCGCTTCTCTAAACCCATTGATTAAATGCCAGCAGTGGTTAATTCAGTAGATTCAGATCGGAGTATGCCAAAATGTTCATAATATAACCACATCCCACTTAAAGATGTGTAATTATTATTAGTTTGATGCCTTAAGATACTTTCCTACAAAATGATTTATCGGGTGGTTATTTCCAATAAAGTATGGCAATTTCGTGATATATGGAAAGTAGAAACCTCCAGTCTTACTAGAAAAGTACTGGATTCCCTGAAAAACACCCATTAGGCAATAGTAGTAATAGGACCTAAATGCAAGGATTTCCCTAAACGACAACTCGACGATTAGGAATGATGCATGCTCGATTGACCCGAGCAAAGGTTGCACGCGAAAATTGTCTGATCACCTCAGCATTAGTGAGCGCTTGATGTTTATGTTTATAAACTTGATGGTGAGCTTAAATGTACACCAGTTTCTGAGATAAAAACCATAGAAAAGATGTGGGCAGTGGATAATCTGAGAATTTAATTAGGCTTCGATATTTATGATAAATGGACAGCGATTATAAAGACAACATTGTCTTGTACATGTACAAGTATATTGAATTCTTCTTGGACTTCGCACCCGTGACACAAACATGACTTCGTTTAATGGATTTTTTTTTTATAGCAGGGGTATTCCCTCGCCAATACAAATTTTTGAGAAGGATTTGAAGCAAAATTTTGATAGATTTGAATATGTTTTTAGTCCAATTATATCATCAGATCACCCAGTTTGTATGCGGGAAGGTATCTTTAACAGGCTTATCGTATATTAAATAGACCATCGATCGTCCTATCTTTTACCAATGACTCAGACTTAGCCTTATGCCTCAGTCAATTTTCTTGATTGGAAATTAGAATATGTTTAAAGTGTCTGATTCTCATTTGAGCAATTTGTAATTCTTTGCAAAGTATAGTACTGGTATTGAAATAGTTGAATCTCTAAAATGAATATCAGTTCAAAAAATGTTCAATTTCATTCAGTACTGATATATAATATGGACTAACATTTAATGAATGAAAAAAAAAATATATCCAGAGTATATAAACAGCTAGGGTAAAAGTATGGTTAAACAAATGTCAGCTATATCTAAAATCTAGGTCATATTCTTTTAATTGACCTTTTTTTCTTAATATTAAATTTTGAATCATCAGTTGGAGTACGGTAGGCCTACATTCTACCATGGATCAAGTTGTGAAAAATTAGATAGTATCTGAAAAATGCAAGTGATGATCAGTGGCTTTAAGTTACAATCTATTTTTTGTTACTCAAAAAAAAAAAAATGTAGGATACAATCAAATTTATATCTTTTTTCATAAAGACGAAACTAGTAGTTTAAGACTATACACAATCAAAAGTACTTTGATAAAACAATATTTTGGATCATGTCTTATAAATCATTCAATTCTAACTTAAATTGTGGTCAATTCATGTTCTCAATGGTTTCTGTTGAATCCAAACTGCCATCTTTATTCGAAAATAAAATAATAATAATTCTGTTATAATCAGTGAGCAAGACAGCCCAAATTCACTTAATTACGTAGGATGTTTAAATAGTTCATTTTTGACTTGGCCCTTGCACTAAACACGTGTTGGAAAATGTTTACTTGTGTGAACTCTATGTAGTCTTATCTAATGACAAAACATGTACCATCTTATCTATACTATAGCCTAATATTAAACAAAATTTCACAATAGGCTTATCTAGCATTCATAGGACCCGTGGTGATCGAGGGTTAGGGCACTGACCGCTCGACTAGAATATTCCAGCTCAGATCTCATTGCCTGTAAACTGTTAAGGAAAATGTGCCTAGATATTCAGATTGTACAAAAGATCTTATTTAACCTGTCAATACACAATTTCATAATAAGCTTATCTAGCATTCATAGGAGCCGTGGTGATCGAGGGGTAGGGCACTGACCGCTCGACTAGAATATTCGAGCTTTCGATGACCTCACAGAATTTTTCAAGCTCAGATCTCATTTCCTGTAAACTGTTAAGGAAAATGTGCCTAGATATTCAGATTGTACAAAAGATCTTATTTAACCTGTCAATACACAAATTGATATATGTAGAAAACAACTCTAGAATTTGATAAAGTGTAGGCTGAAATGCTGTTGTCTGGCAATATTCTATAGAATGCCATATGTTAGTCTCAAAATGACTTGCATATATTGTGTTGACAAAAGAATAAACTCCATTCCATTCCATCTAACATTTTAAGTTCAAAATGATAGTGAAGAAATGTTGATAGATTATATATAAAGAGGAATTGTTGCTTTGGAGATATTCACAGATTTTTGACAGTCAGTAAAAAGATTAAAGCAATCTTCACGGCCTCCCAGTTTAAAGAAACAATTCAACTGTCCTTTAATAAACTACATATTCTGAATGTCTAAAAAAGATAACTATAATAGTCAGTAAAAATATTAAAGCAATCTTCACAGCCTCCCAGTTTAAAGAAACAATTCAACTGTCCTTTACTAAACTACATATTCTGTAAAATAGATGACTATAATACTAATAGTCAGTAAAAAGATTAAAACAATGTTCACAGCCTCCCAGTTTAAAGAAACAATTCAACTGTACTTTAGTAAAGTACACATACTGTATGTCTAAACAAAGATAACTATAAACCCAAAAATGACAATCTTTATTAAAAATCTGTCAATTGAAAGGGCCAGCAATGGCTCCTTCAGTCTTTTTTTATCTGCTAGGAGGACATCTGCCATTTTAAAGTTGGTTCTCACCCCTCAAAAATCATGCATATAGATGTGTCAATAACTCTGGTCTTCATTTTCTAAAAGTATATGTATTTTTTTACTGTTTCTTACCCTAACATTATCTCTTGTTTTCAGAAAAAGACAGGTGGTCAATGAGTTGGACTTACATAAGGATGAATATGTAAATTGTTTTATAACACTCATACTGGTCAAGAACATGACTAGAGATTGACCTTTGTCATGGGTTGTATATAAAAACTCAGATAAATCAGAAAGTTTATTAATAGTGCTGGAACTGAAGAGTCAAGGAATCTCAAATTTTTAAACGTTTAATATTTTTATTCGACGTGAAGTTTTGTAGACGGGTTTGAAAAAAATGAAAATTCTATTTCTTGTTGTTATTTTGGTGCAGCTGTGCATCTGCTCTGCCAGCAAACCTTCCAGATCTGATGTCAAAAACTTAATTGATAAACTTTACCAAAAAATCTTGGACTCCCAAGTGAAGAAAAGTGCCAAATTCTTCCCGCCCTTTTCATGGATTAAGCAGAAAGGAGTATGGGAGAGTGATGTCATGTTAAATTTACATGGCGATTTTGCTTTCACCATTTTACGAGACATTTTTCGAATTTTTGACAATAATATGTTTGCTACATCGTGGATAACAACTTGTCTTATCGAGGCTCACAAATATGGAATTGCGCGCAAACCTGATGAAGCCACAGTAACAATGGCTTTGGAATCTATTAATGAGTACAGTAACCATAATGTTCCATATAATAATTCTCAGATGAATTTCTGGCCACCAGCCTACAACTCTACACTGAAGATTTGGCAAAGCACTCCAGAAAATTTGTTGGATTTGTTTAAATTGACAGATTATTTCCCCGGTAAAACCATAGAAGAGATTCTAACTCTTTTGGGTCAGAAAAAGGTAGCAGACACCATTAAAAGTCTTTTAGCCGATAGGTAAGACATTTTAATTTATTTTGTTCCTGTTTTTATTGTACTGGAGTACACTATGAAACTTTACCAAAACTTTCTTCCTTATCAGTTCAGTGTGAAGTCTTCTCAGACAATCTTAAAATAAATTGGTTGAAGTAAAATATGAATTTGTTAGCTATATGCAAACCTTTCATCATATTGAACTAAACTGGGGTACTATGGGCTTGACACACAAACATGTAGGCCTACTTCCTTTTATGTCCAGTATTTTATAATAACAAGAAAGGCTTTTGTTTTAGTCATAGCAGTGAAATTAATTGACTGGAGAATCAACCTCAATGAATATGTTATAGTTTATAATTTATGTAAAATACTTCACAATGTTGACTGCCTAGCAAACTTCTAAAGTAAAATCCCTTATTTCAAATTCAAGCCACATGTTGCTTAGTCTGCTTGATTTAAAATGAAATGGAAATGAAATGGGGTTTAACGTCCTACCGTTCTGCACGAACTCTGGCTAATGAAGACGGGAATACGCCATACAGTGTGCTATGAGGGAAATTTTGGCACTACGGCCTACTCTTATATCGAATTCCAACTGTCAAGGGATCTTTAACGTGCATGCCAATGTGTACATGGGACCTCAGTTTTTCGTCCCATCCGAACATAGATACATGAACAGGATGCCTTCTCTATATATTGACATTTATACATTGTATGACATTTTATAGATTTTGTTAAACAACTGAATGATGTATATTTTTTCTTTAATTTTAGAGTAATGTTTGAAGATGCTTTTCATATACCATCTGATTTCGATGATACTTTTGTAAATGTTGGACTTGGATCATTGCTTGCTTCTGCTAAATCAGAGCTACCATCAGCTTTTAACACATGGCAACAACATAATACCAATTTATCCTCAGTAATTGATGCTGTTACCAGATATGCCTATAAACCATTTTCTAAAGATCAACGTGTTAACACTATCGATCCTAGAACATATTACTATATGAGAGAATTTTTAGAAAAAGCCGGTGGAACTGACTTAGCCTTGGTTCCTACATGGGTAAGATTGTTTTTTTGAAAGAAACGAAAAAAACTTAGAAAAAAGTATGAATATGCATACAGTGGAAGGAATGTCTGCAGAATTTATGTTTTTATTTCAAATGAATATCAAAGAATATTCACATGAGCTCTCACCCAAAATTACTGAGTAATTTGTTTTATATTAAAGGGACGTGATTGTGGATTTTGTTGAATCTTTTAGGAGAGTTGAGTTTGTTCTTAAATTCTAATGCATTTTAAAATTCCTTGAGTTAACACTGTGAAAAACAGTAGACCTACCGTACAAGTTTTTACTACTCATATGAAACAAAAGTCATTTTGTAATGGTGAGCCCCAGTGGTTCGAGATTATGGTGCTGGCTCACTAACCAAGGTGTCATGGATTCAGTATTGCAGTTTTCCAACAGATTTCCTTTGGATTTTACACCCTGGCCTCCATTTGTCAATGTAGCATGACAGAAGGCATATATCCAGATACATGAAACAGGTGTTTTGAAAGCGCTGAATCTGCCCTTTGCAGGTCTTTCTTTTGGCCTTAAATGTTATATAAATGATTAATTAGACATTAATTAACATGACAAGACCACAATCAACTCTCGATGCTATCTGATGGCTCCGATTTTTAATAGATTAGAACTTTTGGTCCATTTAATGATTTGATTTAAAAGTAGATAATCATTTCTCAGAGTGAAGTAATTTGACTGAAATTTTCAACATATTCCCTTTTTATTATCTATTTTTTAAATATTATAGTGAGAGTGGTCAGCTCTTTATCTAATCTTACATAATGCCCCTTTAAGCTCAATAATCAAGTTTATTTTTCATTCTAATATCTTTAAGAATTTTGTTTTTTTAACTATTATTTATTGAACATGTTTATGTTATTTTTAGATCCAGGATACCGATGAAGTAAGGGTGTTATATGCTAAAGGTGTTGCCATGCCATTCAATGTAAATAATGTAGACTGTACAGTAGCTGCTAATACCATATTTGGTATAACGTCTGCTGTTTTAAATGGTTTGTTACAAGTGAATATTTTCAGTGATGTTGCTTTACAAGTAAGTTATAAAAATCTGAACCTCTATAACCATGGATTATAAATGTGTTCTAGGACCTAGGTTTTGAGTAAAATAAAAAGAACTTAAATTTTCTGGAACTTGGAGCCATTTTGTTGAGGCATCAACCAGAATGTCTTGGGTTCTGACCCTGAGATGTGTAGAGGAGATACTTTTAGATTTTTCAAACCTGCTTCTCACTTATTTGGATGATACACTAAACCAAATTCTACCCATGTACACATTTTCATGGTTGTCAAAGATTCCTTGGCATTTGGAGTTTGATGAAGAGTTGACACCAATTATCCCCCTTGCATTGTAGAAGTAAGGGAGCCTCGCTGGCTCAATGAGTAAGACATTGGCTCGCTGAAGATCCGGTGTTCGATCCCTGTGTTGGCCCAACAAAGTTCATCAAGAATTTTCCGGTTTGGTTCCTCCTGGTCAGTGGTGCAGGACGGGGAGAGCGTGGCAATGTATAGTCGTTCGTAAGGGACGTAAAACCGAGGTCCTGTGTACATATTGGTGTGCACGTAAAAGACCCTTGACAGTTGGTATTTGATATACGTCTTAAGAGTAGGCCGTAGTACCGCTGTCCGGGCAAACTTTTCCTCATAGTACACTGTATGACGTATGCCTGTCTTCATTAGCCCATGTGTCATGTGTTATTCAATCGGAGCAGAAGAGTAGGACATTAAACCACATTTCATTTAATCTTATTTTTGTAGTAGTAACCACTGAAATGAAAAATACTATGTTAGTCTCAAATTGATATGATAATACTTTTATTGTTTGTGATTTTACATCTTTCTGAAAGGTTCAATAAAGCTGTTGTCTATGGGATTTTAAATGAGTACAAGAAGGTCTGTGTCTGCTGTCCATCAGTTCCAAGGACTATAATACTTATTGGGCTTTTATAATTAATTCCAATCAAATGTCTAAGAAGGAAAGAATATACTATTTTAATGTAACAGTAACAGCAGTATGTTATGATCAAATAAGCACACACAAGTAGCAAAACCAACTACATAAAAATTGGGCTAATGTGTATGCAAAATACTTTATTTTTCTCAGATGCAAAAAGGTTGGGCTTGGAATCAATAGAAACTAATATAAACTTCATAAAGCCATAAGATATAATATTTAGACTACTGGTAATATGTTTTTCATTTTTTTTTTGTAATTTCAGAAAGTGTATTTAGACACAGCTTCAATGATAGCCTTTCAAATAGAGCATGATTTTGGTGGAAGAGTTGATTTAGCTTTGACATATTATCCTTCCCTGTTTGAGTTTTATTGGTTTGTTGCTAGAACATATAACATGTTAGAAAGTCAAGACTTTTCATCTTTACCATCAGTAAGTTGGTTTTATTCATATTTTTATTTGGATCAGGACATGCCTATGCAATCTTGTCATTGACCCTACAAGTGTAAGTCACAAGGAGTAGGTTGCCAGCCTAATTTCATGTGTTTCTCAAAATTTTCTGGTTTAGCCTACTTTCACTGTCACAAATGTTAAATATTCTAACTCCAGTCCATGTATTAAACTAGTTTCAACAGTACACCCAAAGCACAGATTCCTTTGCCTTTAAAGAGACATAATGTAAGATTTAGATAAAGAGCTGGCCATTCTTTTTGTAATAGTTTTAAAATGTGGATGAAAAATGAATATATATATAAGAATTTCAGTCAAATTAATTTATTCTGAACGAAGTTATAAATGTTTGAAGATTTGACAAGAAATAACCTAAATTGTGTCCTCCAGTGGCCGATTGCCAGTTTATATTCTCATTTTTCATTCCTTTAATTGGCTGTCAGCAAAAATGCCACCATATTATCGTTTATTGATTGGTGTTGTCTAATCCACTCAATATCTAAATCATCCAATTGTTGTAGAGTTGATCAAATGGTAGCCATGATACTAAATGCTGCTAGTTTATTTATGGTCGTATATTCTCAACAGTAACTGGCAGTTATTTCAAAACAGTATGCAATTCTGGATCATTGTTAAATTTACCAACTGTATTGTCAATCAAATTGAAAATTGATGTTTTTCCAACCAATACATTTTAACAAAAGGTGAATAAAATTGAAAGTCTGGAATGGTTAGAATGAATAAATATTATAAAAAATTTTTTTTCAGGAATTACAACAAGTGTACCACATGTTTAAACCAGTTTTGAAAGATCGTGCTACAACTAGAGTTATAAAATCAGCTGTTTTAGAAGATGTAGATTTACTTTATTTTGATGATTTCCTGGGTGATGATGATAGAAGTATCTTCAACAAGTCAAAGGTAAGTCACCATCTGAAGTGACCAATCTTGATATGATTTAGACTCGAGTCATCCATATTAGCTATCTTAAATTTGTAGTAGGTGAAGTTAATAAATCATTTATTTTCAGGCAATACAAAAAAGAAATATTCTGGTTCTAAGACAATCTGATGGGGGAGAAAAATTTATTTTTGTGTTTCTATTTTGTCAAAGGATCACTACAGCGCTAAATGACTTCTCTTATAAACATCATGTTTGTTATAGGCATATATGAGTATCTATTAGTATTATTTATGATTGTCAGTAACATTTGACAGTTTTTTTGGATTTATTCATATATTTGGGCGGGGGTTTGGGTGGTTTAGTTGTTTAACATGTGCGTGTGAAATCACAAGGTCTGTCATTAAGTCAAGTGGCATGGTTTTGATTCCCCACTGAACATGACAAGGAGAGGGGTTGGCTGTCCAACTTCATAAGTTTTCTTCGGGTCCTCTGGTTTCCTCCCACTGCTAAAGACCCCTACGCGCCAGTGAATTATTGAAATGAAATTAAACTGTGTTAGTCCCGAAATGACCTAGTTTGTTTCGAGTGGATGTGAAACCCTTTTTTTCTCTCTCATTGAAAGATTTTTATAGAGTTACTTTCTGTAAGTGAGGTAAAATATTTCTGTGCGTTAATTAATAATAATTTATATTTGAAATAAATACAAGTCATGCAGATCTGCAGAATATTATTTACATGGCCGTAGACGGTGTGTAAAATACTGGTAAGTAGAATATAAAGGGACAGTTAAATCACAGTTTTACTTTTTTATTATTTTATGTTTAAAGAATGATGCAGAAGACAGAATATTTACAACGACAATGGCCTTAAATACTTTATTAACAATATGGACCGTTCAAGCTAACGATAATACTACTCTTAGCTGGCAAAAAGGTAATTGTTTTATTATCTTAATATTGATAATGAGGGTACTACTATCCTATTCATTAAAGAATTTAAAAGACAAGGCTATGATATCTGTCAGCTAATCCCATATTGATAAAGTACAGATAATCTCAAGATAATCTTGTGATGCTCATTATCATTCAGGAATTACATGTTGCATGCAATTGTCCAGGGTGTTTGAAACTCAATACATACTGTATTTTATAGATATGCCAGCCAGTATAGAAACAACTGTATTGTGTATTATGTTTTAGAGATACAACAGCTAGTGTAGTAACAACTGTATTTTGTACCACCTAGTGTAGTAACAACTGTATAAGGCCCATTCTCACGGTGCGACTTGTAGTAACTACTTGTAGTAACGACCCGAGATGCAACGTGAGAACACCCTAGTCGTACCAACTTTTACAAGCTCCCAACCAGTTGAAAGTGAGTTGAGCGAAATAGAAATTTCCCTATTTCAGTCAACAGATCGTATGAAATTGACCAATCAGAGATGTCGAGTATTACTACAAACAAGAGTTCTCTCCCTTTGTTGTTGGTAAACATGGACGCGAAGCGCACCCATCAAGAGCCGCTCAGCAAAGCTGAGACAGAGAATTTTGTTAATTATTACCTCTCACAACCTTGCTTATGGGATGTGAGTGGGAACTGTACGCGCCGGCAGTGGGTCAACGCAGTATCCACTGTCTAACCCAGACGGATTTGGGTTTTCTCTTTTTCTTTTTGTTTTTATTTATCAAATGTAGGGCAATAATAGCCAGCGTCTCTTTGTCACTTGATGACGCCATTATGCTAAGACAAGACGAGATTATCGTGAGATTCCAAGTCGTATCAACTCATTTATATACGATTTTGTAATCTACATGTAGATACTACAAGTAGTTACTACAAGTCGCACCGTGAGAACAGGCCTATAGATACACTAGCTAGTAACAACTGTATTTTTTATTGTAGTATATTTTTAGATACACCAGCTAGTGTAGTACCAACTGTATTTTGTATTATATATTTTTAGATACACCAGCTAGTGTAGTAACAACTGTAGATAAAGGTATTAACTGGTTGTTACGTTATGCTTTATCTGATCAATATAAACCATGGAATGCCTTCTTCTCAGGTTCTGTTAAAAGTATTTCTGTAAGTTTTTAATTATTTTGTTTCAATCTATTTACATTTTCTAGGTAAAGATCACATTTATACAACTAATAATTAATATGAACATTAAAATACAGAAAAAAATCAATAAATATACAGGGTTAATATAAAAGGTGTAATCTTTAAAGATGCATTATGTAAGAGCTAAATCTGCCTATTGCAGGTATTTATTTAGGCTTCAGATGTTATATAAACTATTATTTAGACATTTATTCACATAACAAACCCATAATCCACACTCTAGATCATCAGATGGCCAAGATATTTAATTTAAATTTAACATTTATATGGATTATCAAGACTTTGTTTATTATCGCCCAGATTAAAGTAATGTGACTGAAAATTTTCAATGTGTTCCCTTTTTCATTATCTAATTTTAAATGACCAGTGCTAATTAGCTAAATCTTACTAATAATTATTTCATTTCCAAAACATATACTGTGGTCCATTAATATCAATTCAACATTTCTGAAATTGTGCTCATTGTCTCATGACCCCCCAATGCTTCCCATGACATTAGAATTGCTTATTTTTTGTTAAAAACTATCGATTTAACAAGGTTTTTTGACAAAGGGGGGTTATCCCGAGTGTCAGTGATTTGTTTCGTTCGAATTGAACTCTTCAGACTGATTGGACTCACGTGGCGGGCGTTTTTATTTATATATTCTTCCAAAAAAGTAGGGGATATTCAGAAACAATACAAAACTGCGGAAATGCACTGCTGTTTTTATTAGAGGTTACCAGTGTACATGTATGTTAACAACAGTCCAATTGCCTACACATGAACATAAACAGTTCATATGGGCGGCTTATCTGACGGCCCCATTTTACTCGCAAAGAGATACACCATCAAAAGTGAAAATGGACTTTTTTGATTTTTGTCTTAATGAGTAATTGCTCCACCAATCCTCAGACATTCAGCAATTCGTCGTGGCATGCTCCTAATCAACCGTCCAATCACGATTTGGGGCAATCTGACCCACTCCTCATGCAGTGCCATGGCCAATTCTTGCAGTGTTGTGGGTCGACGTCAACGTTAACGAACATTTCTCCCGATCAAATTAAACGCAACACACTAAAGCAAAGATACGCTAAACAGTAAATCTTATGCAAGAACCAATAGGAAAGCAAACATAGATAGATAAACCAGCACGCAGCAGTTTTCATCAACCCTTCCTTGAAGTGTCAAATTTGACGATGAATCCCTCCCACTTGTATGGCGCTATTGCGTGTCACATGTGCAGCTCAGTGGTTCTGTTGGGCCGATAAGTTCTTCATCTGTGAATATAATCTCAAAGCATTTCAAATGTCCATGACTATTTCTCATATCACAACCTGCATAAGTATTTGCATTTCAATATCCCCTACTTTTTTTGAAGAATATACTATTCCGAAACATGACAGTTTTAGTATCACATGTCAATTTATAGATTTAGAACAACTATATTTATTGTGTTTAAGGTAAAATTTTTTGAAATACCTAATAATTTATGACATGTAAATGTGTTGACAAATAGGTCAATAATGCTCTTGAACATCATTAATGTTATATTTTTTTGTTTTTAGGATCTTCCATTTTTCTTTCCAATCAACAGAATTGAATATTTTAACGGAACAAGAATACCAAATTTTCAACATATACCTCAGGATACTATTGGGGATATTGTATTTGGCGTGGAAGGATTTATTTCTGAAGAAAAGTACCAAGAAATGGTGAAAAAGATTCCTACTAAAGAACGCCCCTCTCCCGAATTTCCAGGATTCAACCAAAAAGGAGAATATTTCCCTTTTTGGTCATCTACGCCTTATACTCATGCCACAACCATGTTAGTGCTGGCTAAATATGCTAATATAGCCTAAATTTCATTGGAAGTTGCAGCTGCCAGACTTCTTACCCACAGTTCCCCATAAAAATGTTTAAAAATGAATGGATTGTATGTGATATCCCCACCACCAAAGTTATACTTATATTTTGAATATGGTGCCTTCTTATAGGTAATTTTAAAGATACATTATTCAAGAGCTAAATTTTCCTATTGCAAGTCATTCTTTTAGACTTTAAATGTTATCTATATTAATTAGACATTTATTAACATTAGACAAGACCATAATCAACTTTCGTTACTATCAGATGCTCGAGATTTTAACTAGATTTACGGTTTGGCCAGTTAATAGCTTAATTTAAAAATTAAGGAGAGAGTCTAATTCTTGAATATACCAGTACCGTGGTTATAATAATAAACAATCAATGCACACATCTTGCCAAAACTATGAACAGTGATAACTTGGCTCAGAATTTAAATGAAGTGTTCAATATATTCACTTTGCATTATCTACTTTTGAACTATTATAGCAAAAACAGTCAACTCTTTATCTAAATCTTACATAATTATCTTTAAGTTGGTTTTAAACTGCAATATCTCCATTATCTTTACAATTATATTATTTGAATCTGTAATATCTCTATTATCTATACAAATATATTATTTGAAACTGTAATATCTATATCATCTGTACAAATATATTATTTGAAACTGTAATATCTTTATTACCTGTACAATTATATTATTTGAAACTGTAATATCACTATTATTTGTACAATTATATTATTTGAAACTGTAATATCTGTACAATTGTATTATTTGAAACTGTAATATCACTATTATCTGTACAATTGTATTATTTGAAACTGTAATATCTCTATTATTATCACCTGTACAGTTATATTATTTCTAACTATATAGTATCTTTTTTGTATGTACAGTTATATATTATTTCAAACTGAAATATACTGTGTGTACAGTTAAATTGTTTTAAACTGAAATACCTCTATTGTGTGTACAGTTAAATTGTTTTAAACTGAAATACCTCTATTGTGTGTACAGTTATATTGTTTTAAACTGAAATACCTCTATTGTGTGTACAGTTATATTGTTTTAAACTGTACTATGTCTGTTATATATATGTATGGTTATATTGTTTTAATATGTTGTGAATAATATAGAGATTTAATTTGTAACGACTTCCCCCAAAATGCCAAAAACATAAAGAAGTTATAACATTCCATTTAATGTTAGTGAGTTTTATGCCAAAATTTATACAATTTTAAAAATAAGACATCTGATTTTTTTGTTGTATTTTTTGAAATAAAATGTTTAGCTTCATTTATTTACTTTAACTTTTGTTAAAATAAGCATTCCATACAGTGTCTTTATAGGAACAGTTAAATTTTGATCAAATTTTGATTAAACAAATGTATGCATGTAATTTCATTTGTTAGTTAATTTCAGTAAAATATTGTCATTTCTTTTCCCGCTTGTACCCCTTTCCTTAATACCTGTGGTATTATTACCTAAATTCGAGAAAGGTATAGTATAATCTGTACTATACGTTAGTATTGTTTAGTATTTCTATATTGTCTCATTTCTATTTTGTGTTTTCTATTTGTTTTTGTTTTTTTATATATCCCAGTTGAGGACATGAAATTCAAGACTTTAACTGAAATGTTACTTATATTTTTGTTAATTTAATAAGTTTAAGAATTGTATTAGAAGTATGTTTGCACTGGGTTATACATGTTATTTATTATATTAGTCATATGGTTAGAATTCATATTTTTAAATACCGATAAATGATGATTTGTCAAATAAAATTTTTAAGAATCTTAACTGTTAGATTTTGATTTAAACTATTGAAAATATTCTCTTCAAAAAAAGAAACGTATAGTGACATTTTGTCGTCATACCCTCGCTCTACCATCGCCTAGTTGCAACAGGAACCGTGACACGTCGCTGAACCAAACTGTTCTACAGTGTTGCTGTGGCCATACCCTGTGTGTCTGAACCCATTGAAGTCAGATTTGACAGTGTCGGCGTATTTCAAAATAACTGCTCTTATAGGATGTCTGGTTTGTAATTCGGTTTACGTAGGCGTTTATGGACTGTCTGGTCTGAGATTCTACGCCCAGGAATTGCTGCTGCAGTAGAGGTTGCTGTTGTGAACCGTTTCGGCAAATGACTTGACCAGATATGACGATCCAGGGCAGGTGGGGTCACTCTTGTTTGGCCTGAGCTTGGGCGGTCACATCTTGAACTTCGGTGTCGGTACCTACCCCAAAGACGAGAAATGGTACTTTGGGAAACATACATCTGTCTGGGATTCACCTGCTTGTAACAGACTGATAGCCTTGTTGCGTTGATCTTTGTTCAGATGTGGCATCACTTGGCTCATTGAGTGTTTACATATGCAACTGATTTTGAAAGCGAGAACCCCAGGATTTTAAAGACCTTAGATTTGGGTTTTATGCGGAAAGCTTGCGAAGTTGTTAGACTCATATGTCTTGGTACAATCAAGGGAAAACAAATTCCGGCAAAAGGTATGACCAGTCACAATTGGTGACCGTACATTTAAAACCAATAATGAATTTCTTTTATCGTTACATAATGACATTAAAAACAAGTAAAATTTATGGAAACAACGATCCCGTTCAAATATAAAAATGATGAAAAATTGGCTGTGCGTTTCCTTTTTTTAAAGAGTATATATACTTAAAAAGTAATTGTAGCTTAAAGTTGCAATTTCATATTTTTAAGTTATATTTTTAAAATTTATTAAAATAAAGCCCTAAAATAGATGGTATCTATAAACAGTCCTACCTTGTTAAAGAATAATCCTATAATTCACTATTGCCAGTTGAGAAATTGGCAAAAATATCATTTTCTTCTTCAAATTCAAACATTTGAAAAAAGCTTCTCCATGGTGGAGAATAGAAAACAAGGGAGGTAATTGTGTTATTATTTCCGATGTAAATGAGTTTTAAGTGTGAGAATGACACCTATGATCGTATAATAGTGAGTTGAC